GGGGCTGAGGGTAAGTTGTGTCTCTGCATCAGAGTGTTGGAATGTTATTTGGCCTGATTTTCTGGGAACATCCACCCATCTCCTTGGCCTCCCTGCCTCTAGTCTCACCCTTCCATAAGCCCAGAAACCTTACTCTAAATGTGTCCTGTCCCTCCCCAGCTCAAAACTCCTCTTTAGCCTCACACTGCCCAAGTTCAAGCTCCTCAGCATGTAACTTGGGTGTCTGGCCCCTGCCCACCCTCTACCACCCTACCCCCATTCATTCAATACATTCCAGCTCCAACCACACTAAATTTACTGGAGTTCCTCAAATTGGGCATGATAAACTCTGGCTTCTAAGCCTCTGTGTACCCAAGTCCCTTTGCCTGTCCTTCATGTAACTGGCTGACTCTCTCTTGACCTTCATGACCAGCTCAGATGGTCCCTCTTTTCTCCATATCATGGGTGGGGGTGCTCCTCTGGGCCCTTTGCTCCTCTCTGTCCTGTCACAGCCCTTTCCACTCTAGATGGAGCAAAGGGATGTCCAAGTGTGTCTGATCCCAATGGGGATGTATGAGGCTGTAGAGCTGAGTGCATACCCAGGGGTGTAATAATGTCCTGCCTGTGTCTGTGTGGTTGTGAGCCTCTGTGTGTGGGGGAGGGTGCCTGCATCTCCTACCCGTATCCATCCCTGTGTGACTACATCCTGTGATAACTCTGTTTGGCCATGTTGGTATGTGTGTGTGCTTGTATCCCCCACATAAAACCACAGTTCCCTGGAAACTGTCCCTGTGTGACAGTGCTCCATGCATGTGACAGCCTGTCTGCAAGGGTGTTTGTACTGTGCCAGGTCTCCCTGCCTCTGTTCTAGGCACTGTGGACAACCAGGTAGATTGTGCTTCACACAAGGTGCCTGCTGAGGGGCAAGGAGGTGGCAGAGTTTTGTGCCCCACCCCCGGGCTCTGGTACCAGATGGGGGCTGTAGCTGGCTGGCTTCCCCGGGCTGGGCAGCATGGGGGCCGCGCTGCAGGGGTTGATGCGTTTCTCCTTCTGGCGCCGGTTGCAGAACCAGACGCGGATCACTTCCTTCTCCATGTGCAGCTGCTCTGCGATCAGCAGGATCTCCTCTGAGGTAGGCTTCTGGTTCTGCGGGCAGAGGGCTCATTAGCGGGGGGGCCCCCCCTCTCCCACCCGCCCTCAGCGCTGCCCAGGAAGGGGCCTCACCGCTAGAAAACTCTTCTCTAAGGCGAAGCGGACGTTTGTCTCAATGCTGGTCCTCTTCTTGCGTCTCCGGCCAGGGAGCCCATCGAAACCCAGGCTGGGGCTGCTCAGCTGGTTGGGGCTAGGCAGGCTGGAGTCCACAGACATAGTCTCTGTGCCGGAGAGGAGATGGGGCATGAGAGGGGGCCTCCCCCGACCTGGGAGCCTGCCACCCATCTAGGAACCCCAGTCCTACCTGCGTCGTTGAGCCACTTCTCTAGGAGGGGCTTGAGTTTGCACATGTTCTTGAAGCTCAGGTTGAGGGCCTCGAAGCGGGAGATAGTCGTCTGGCTGAAGTCGTTGCCATAGAGCTTGCCCATAGCCAGGCCCACGTCACCCTGGGCCATTGGGGCAGGGAGAGTCAGCGGTCAGGGTGGAGCTTTCAGTACTGGGCTGGCCCGACCCATCAGGTGACCACGCCCCTCGCCCCGCCCTCGAGTTGGCTCTGACTTCGAAGGGTCCACAAGCTCGTCAGGCCCCCTCACCCCCACCCCACTGTGGTTCCCAGTGATCCCTGACCTGCGTGAAGCCCAGCTTGATGCGGCGTTGCTTGAAGGTGCGGGCAAACTGCTCCAGCTCCTCCAGGTCACTGGGCTCCTCGGGGTGGGATGGTGGCTCCAAGCATTTGGGGGGCTGCGGGTGCGAGAGGTGCGGGTCGGGCAGCGTGGGGCGGGTCACGGCCTGGTGGGGTGGGCAGGTGGGTGGGATGCAGGACGGAGGACCAGGATGGGGCTCAGTAATGGCTAGGCAGTCCCCCTTCCCTCCCTCCCTGCCTTCCAGCCTCTTCCTGCAGGTTCCCTTCCACCTGCTCCCAAGAGGCCCCCTCCCCCTCACAGTGGGCTGCCAGTTCCCATCAAGGCTGCACTCTGCCGCCCTGCGTGGGGCCTCTCACTGCTGGAACTCTGCAGATTGCCTCCCAGCCTGCAAACTCCCAGAAGGAGCTGTCCCTGCCTCACGCACTCGGTGGACACTCACCTGTGTGGGCAGCCCCGCCCGCGGCTGGGAGGTCAGAAGAGCTCCCTGGGTTTGCTGAGGTAGCTGGAATAGATTTGGCGTCGGTAGCAGGCCTGGGAAGACAAGGGGGGACACACAAAGTGAGGGAGTAGGGGGACTTCTGTGGGGGCAGCAGGGAGGCCATCAGGTGGGGCCTTACCTGGCTGACTCTGCTGGGCCTGCGGCAGCAGGAACTGAGCAGGTGGCTGAAGGTGATGACCCGGCACAAGGACCAACTGCTGGAGCTGGAGGAGCTGCTGTATGTCCTGGCAGGGAAGGGGATGGACAGAAAGACAGCCTGAGTCCCTCTACCTCACCTGAGCCCCAAGGGGTGCTGCACAGGGTAGCCTGGCACCAGGCAGTGAGGGATGGCACATGGATCTCTGACTGGCATCCCTCAGCTAAGAGCACCTGGGAGGTTTGTCTCAACCCTAGGCTTCTGGAGTGTCCTACTGGGCTGTCCCAGGAGGGCTCACTCTTTATTTACTTTTTCTTCCTTAATGAAATATTTGCCTTGTCTTACATTCCCAGGGAACAAATAGAACTGTTTAAAAATGTAAATCAGAACAAGTCTTTCCTCCTTCTAAAACACTCCGAGGCAAATGGCATCATGTATGGACTGAACTTCTAGCACATAGCGGGTGAGGAGATTGCACAATCACAATCTTTGGCACTACTGTGGGTTGAACTGTGTCCCCCTGAAAGGGGATATGTTGGAATCCCCACCCCCAGACCCCCAGAGTGTGACCCTGCTTAGAGTTAGGGTCCTTGCAGATGACCAAGTTAAAATGAGGTCACTAGGGTGGGCCTTAACCCACTATGACTAGTTTCCATATGAAAAGGGGAGATTTGGACGCAAAGACAGACATGCTCAGAAGGAAGACAAAGTGAAGATCCACAACCTGGGTATTATGTGCCCTGATAAGAATCGAACCCACGACCTTTTGGTGTACAGGACAACGCTCCAACCGACTGAGCCACACTGGCCAGGGCACAAATGCACATACCTTTTAACTCAGCCATTCCGCATCTACGAATTTATTTTAGGGATATACTCACACTTGTGCAAAATAACATCTCTAGAGGGATAGTCCCAGCAGCAAGTGGTGTTTCAGCAAAAGAGTGGAGGTGAGTGCGCAACAGCAGGGGACAAGTGAGTGCATTAGAGTGGATCTTTGCAACGAATATTATGCAGTCATGAAAAATAATGAGGATGCTCTTTGTGCCCTGATATGGAACAATTTTCAAGATGTCCTGTTGAGTAGAAAGCTCAAGAGGCAGAACAGTGGGTATGATGTGCTACTGTTTGTATTTTTAAAAACTTATACCTAGGTTTCTCCTTGGGTGTGCGTGGGTTAGATCTAGAAAACTACACCAGGAACTGACAATACTGTAAACCCTCTGCACCTCTTGATTTTGAACATTTTACTTAGTCCAGCTAAAGACATAACTGTTGAACAGTCACTTCTGCCCAGCACCTCTCCTTTTCCAACCGTTCATCTTGCCACAATTCAAGGCTGGTCCCTGTCCACCTGTGAAGGCCTCCGCTTTCTCTGTGTGCTTTGGGAAGTGGATGGAGTATCTGGGTGCTCCAACCTTTCACCTTTCTCACTCTTGCTGCTAATCATCCAAGACTATGGCTGAAGGGGTTTGGAGTCCTAACACTTTATCCTTTGAAACTGTCCATTCTGCCTTCCCTTTTGTGACCCGCTCCCCGCCCCCCCATCAATAAAATCTGCATGGCTGTCTCCCTTCCCACGAATGAGGGAAGCTTGGGCTTCGGACTTCAGCCCCCACTCCCATTTACAGTGGACCGTGGACCTAATTTTGGTTTCATAATTTTGTCTTCTTTTTCTCTAAAAGGCCCTGCAAATTGTACATATAAATGTCAGACCCCACCAAACTGTACCCACCCTGCTGCACTCTGCATTTCTCATGATGCACTGCGTTTGCCTGTGGACCCTTTTCCTCTGCTGGGCTGAACCTCTAGGGGCAGAGGCACGTCTCATTGTCCTTGCACCCCTGAAAACTTCACAGGGCCTGGTAAGCCTCATTAAATGCCCACGGAATTGAATCAAATAAGAACAGAAATAAAGTCTTATTACAAGTACTTTTTTGATTTCCTATAACCCTTAGCTTATTGATTAAAATATTTGACTCCTGTCTTTCCCAAGCTTGACACTCAGCGAAAAACCCCACTTTCTCCCCTAAAGCCTGAAAGAGCGGTGTCTGCAGATTTCTTTCTGAATCGGCAGGAAGAGGAAAAGAATGGAGAAGATGAAGTGCAATCTGCAGTGGGTCTCACGGTGAGGAGTCCAAATGAAGAACTTAACCGTAGCTACTCAGCCCTAAACTTGGAGGTCAGCCTTGGTTCCCCCCTCCCCTCCCCCTCCCAGTCCACTGCAAGTCCCACCCAAAAGTTCTAAACTTTTTGTGCTCTGAATTCTTTGGTGTCTCACAAAACCTAGAATTAAAAAAAAATTGCACAAGATAAAATATATAAGATTTCAAATGAAATCAATTATATTGAAATACGGTCATCAAAAGCATTTTGAATTGTCATAATAGTAACCTATAGGCTTCTTTAGTTGGCATAGTATTATTTAAGATCAAGCAATAGGTCTGATGACTACTGTAATCTCAAAGCCATAGTGAGTGAAACAGTATTTTAAGAGACCTGCGACAACTGTACAGGATATGGAAACAGCTGTGCATTCCATTGGTGACAAAGCCCAAGTGCTGCTGTGCCACTGTGGTCTGCTGCCTATATTCATGACAGAAGGAAATACTATGTTGTTGGTTAGAGGATAGTGAAAACTGAGACATAACCGTTTTCCAAGTTCAAGGACCTACTTGAATTCGATCCACAGACCCCTTGAGGGGTGATCTGTGGAATCCAGGTTCCTGTTCTAAATTATTAATTGAACCAGAAAACCTTCTTTGGGTTTGATGACATTTGTAATATAATCTAACTCGTTGCCATGGTCCTGCACGAGCCGGCCCCCTGCTTGTGTCTCCTTCCTCGCCGTCCATGACTTTCTCACTCTCTAACTCTAATCCTGCCTCACCGGTCTCCTTCCTGTTACTGAACCCAAAAAGAAGTCCTTGCCTCAGGGCCTTTGCACAAGCTGTTGCTGTGTGCCTTCTTCCCCTTCTTGATCTGCACATGAATGGCCCCTCCTCATCACTCAAGTCTCTATCAAACACCCCCTCCTCGGGGAGGCCTCCCCTGGCCACCCCTCTGATAAGGAGTCTTCCTTTCCCTCAGTCAGTCTCTAGTCCATTACACTCTTTTCTTTCCTTCATAGCAACTATCAGCTTCCTGTCTCCCCAACCAGAGTGGGTGCCGGCTCCATGAGGGCACAGATTTGGCTCCCTTATTCCTCACTGTATCCCCCACATAGAAAGGTGCCTGGACATGGGGAACGTTCACTAAATGTTTGTTGTCTAAAGGAATTCAAGGAGAAAGATGATTCTGGGTGAGCAGTGAGCTGGCTCAGGACTGGGGTTGGCCAGTAGGTGGCCCCATTTCTCCACAATCTAGAAACAGCATGCAAGCTGAAGCCACTTGGAGACGCATTACCACCACTCAGGCGGTGCAGCTAGAGGAAGCGCAGAGATGCCAGTGGTGGAAAGGGACCCCGCCAGGATATTTAGTGTATCATCTGCTCAGGACCTAACCTGTGAGAAAGACTGGCACACAGCAAAACACACCCCATGAACGCCGAGAAGGGAAGAGACTCATTCTTGCTTATTGCTGTATTCCGGTTACCCCCACCCCAGTGCAGGCACCCAAAAGGCCACCAAGGAATGTTCAGCGAATGAAGGAGGTAAAACCTAGGACTAGTGCTGTTTGGGGCAGACTATGCTTTGCTACAGTTGGCCACAGATTGGGGGCAGAAAGACTGAGATACAGTTTATATGACACACGGGTGACCTGGAGTATAACTGTTCATTTTCCCATCTGGCTTGGTTCCACCTGGGAGGAAGGAACTAGGGGAGGCCTGGGCCCAGAGCAGCCAGCTGTACCCCGCCCAGGTGCAGGGCCTCACCCCCACGCACAGGGAAGACTCCCCTCAGCCTGTCAGAGGTCTCCACGCTTGCTCTGGCAGCCACCACCAATGGGACGCTGTTTGTCCATGGACACTCACTGGCCACCCTTGATCTGACGAATTATGACTAGCTCTAAGACATGGACAGCCTCAAGTTAAGTCCAGAGTGGGGAGGGCAGGAAGGGATGGGCTCTAGACACCACATAAGTTACGTTGTGATCGATTGTGTTCAAATGAGGACAGGCTCGTGTCAGTCTGCCCAGTGGTGGATGGGCTGCCTGGGAAGGCAGTGAGCACCTGTCCTGAGGGCCACCTGGGTGAAACTGCACCCCATCTGCCCAGAACAGTGCAGAGGGTAGACTAGAGGTGTGTAAGGGTCCCTTCCAGTTGAGAATCTTGGGGGCTTGACCTCAGCCCTCTTGCCTGATTCTTGCTGTGTGACTTCAGGGAAAGCCAACTCTCTCTGGGCCGCAGCCACCTTAAGTGATAAGATGATGGTGCACCTGGAAAGACCCGGGCTCTGGAGATAACCCGAAACCTGACTGTTCCTCACACACCTAGGACCGTGGGCACCTTCCCTCTTTAAGACTCAATTTCCTCAGGTGACACCTCAATAATTCTGACCTCAGGGGCCCATTAAAGGAATTAAATGAGACAACATGGGGAGAATGTTTAGGCTGACCCCTGTTCACTTACGTGGTCCTCCCCACGTGGCAGTCATCATTACTGAGTCATTTCTCTCTCAGAGATTTAGTTTCTTCATCTACAGAATGGGGGTAATAACGTCTAACTCTCCACCAGGTGGTTCTGAGGCCTGAGGAATATTATTATCCATAAAGCATTTTGGAAATCTCAACCTACTCCTCCAGCACGAGCATTTGCTACTCCTGCACCCTCATGTCATCCCCTCACGTCACCCCACCTGACCACGAGCTCTCGAGGGTGGAAGACCCATCTGGCTATGGATTCCATCTTCTTCCTGACAACTCACAACTTCTAGCTGAGCTCCAGCCTCACATATCCATCTGCCTGTTTGATGCCTCTCCTTGGATGACTAAGGCTCTTCACACCCTACCACGTCCAAAGCAAAACTCCTGGTTTCCTACCCAGCCCTCCAAAACAACCCTTTCCCCCTACTTGCCATCTCAGAAAACCACCTGAACACCACACAGGGGCTGAAGCCAAAGTCCTAGGAGCCACCCTTGACCTATCTC